AAGGTATCTCCATATTGCTTTCCACAGAGGTTGAACTAGTTTGCAGTCCCACCAGCAGTGTAGGAGTGTTCCTACTCGTTCTGCATCCATGCCAACATTTATCTGTTTGGGGCCTTTTTGATAAAGGCCATTCTTAATGGAGATAAGTGATATCTCATTGCAGTTTTGATTTGCATTTCCCTGATGATTAGAGATGTTGAGCATTTTTTCATATGTTGGCCATTATTTTGTCTTTTTCCCCCTGATTAAACATCTTTTTTATTCCAGCATATTATGGGGGTACAAATATTAAGGTTACATATATTGCCCATGCCCTCCCTATTCTATCTTCTTTTGAAATTTTTCTATTCATGTCCTTTGCCAACTTTTTGATAGGGTTGTTTGATTTTTCCTTGCTGATTTTCCTGAGTTCTAAATAGATTCTAGTTATCAGCCCTTTATCGGATGTGTAGCTTGCAAAATTTTTCTCTCATTCTGTGGGTTGTCTCTTTGCTCTCTTGATGGTTTCTTTGGCTGTGCAGAAGCTTTTTAATTTGATCAGGTCCATTTAGTTTATTTTTGTTAATGTCGTGATTGCCTTTTGGGTCTTCTTAATAATTCTTTGCCTAGGCCAATGTCTAGAATGTATTTTCCAACGTTTTCCTCTAGAATTCTAATAGTTTCACACCTAAGGTTCAAGTCTGTTTACCCAGCGTGAGTTGATTTTTGTGAGAGGTGAAAGGGTGGGTTTTGTTTCAGTCTTCTATATGTGGCTATCCAGTTTTTCAGCACCATTTATTGATAAGGATTTTTTCCCCCAGTGTATGTTTTTGTCTGCTTTGTCAAAGGTTAGATGGCTATATGGGGATGGTTTAATATCTGGGTTCTCAGTTCTGTTCCACTGGTCAATGCCTCTGTTCCTGTGCCAGTAACAAGCGTTTTAATTACTATAGCCTTGTAGTATAGTTTGAAGTCTACTAAATTGATACCTTCCCATTTTGTTTTTATTGCCATAAGGATTGATTTTGCTATACAGGGTCTTCTCTGGTTCATATGAAGCGTAAAATTACTTTTTCTATATCTGTGAAAAATGATGTATTTTTATAGGGATTGCATTGACTCTTAGTCACTTTGGGTAGTATAATATTTTAACAATGTTGATTCTGCTGACCCAAAGTATGTATGGTCTTTCACCTGTTTATGTCCTTGCTGTTTTCCTTCTTCAGTGTTTCATAGTTCTCCCTGTAGAGGTCTTTAACCCTTAGTTAAATATATTCATAGGCACTTTATTTTATTTGTTGCTATTTTGAAGGAATTGAGTCTTGATTTGGTTCTCACTTTAACTATTGTTGGTGTATATGAATGCTCCTGATTTGTGTGTATTGATTTGTATCCTGAGACTTACTGAATTTCATTTATCAATTCAAGGAGTCTCTTGGTTGAATCATTGGGGTTTTCTAGGTATAATATGATATCATCAGCCAAGAGTGAGAATTTGATCTCTTTTGCTCCCATTTGGACACCCTTAATTCTGCTCTCTTGTCTGATTGCTATAGCAAGGACTTCCAGCGCTATGACCAACTGGCTTTATACTTTAGTATACTTTCATGCTGCTTTCAATCTGCCTTTATTTGAACTTTGAAAGACTCTCTTTAACATTTTTTTTGAGACAGAGTCTCACTCTCTTGCCCATGCTAGAGTGCCGTAGCTCACAGTAACCTCAAACTCCTGGGCTCATGCAATGGTCTTGCCTCAGCCTCCTGGCTAGCTGGGACTACAGGCACATACCACCATGCCAGGCTAATTTTTTCTATTTTTAGTTGTCCAGCTAATTTCTTTCTATTTTTAGTAGAGACGGGTTCTCGCTCTTGCTAAGGCTGGTCTCAAACTCCTGAACTCAAGCAATCCTCCCACCTTGGGCTCCCAGAGTGCTAGGATTATAGGTGTGAGCTACCATGCTGGGCCTCTTTAGCATTTTTTGCAAGGCAGATCTAGTGGTGATGAACTCCTTTTGCTTTTGCTTATCTGGCAAAGTCTTTATCTTTCTTTTTTTCAAGGACAAGTTTTCTAAATATAATCTTATTTGACAATTTTTTTCATTAAGCACTTTGAATTTATCATATTATTCCCTTCTGGCCTGTAACAGTTTTGCTGAGAAATTTATTGATAGTTTTATGGGACTCCCTTTATGTGATGAATCACTTTTCCTTCTTTCAAAATTTTCTATCTTTGACAGTTTAGTTATAACGTATCTCAGTGTGAAGTTATTAAGATTCATCCTCGTTGGGTTCTGTTGTGCTTTCTGTATGGAAGGCAAAAAGGGTGTCCATTTCCTTTCCTGGATTTGGGATGTTTGGTCCATTAGTTCTTCAGATATAATTTTTGCCTCTTTCACTCTCTTCCTCTTTTTTTATGTACATAATGCATATATTACTCCATTGTGCCCCATAATTCTCTTAGACTTTCTCAAGTCTTTTTATTCTACTTTCTTTTCACTCTTCTGACTGATAACTTCAAAGGACCTGTCTTTGAGTGTGATGATACTTTTTTCTGTTTGATCAAATCTGCTGTTGAACCCCTCTAAAGAATTTTTAAATTTAGTTATTGTATTCTTTAACTCAAGTTTTTCTGTTAGATTCTTTATGTTTTCTGTTAACTTGTTGATATTCTCATTTTGTTCATGCATCATTTTTCTGAGCTTGTTGAGCATCTTTATGATGGTTACTTTGAATTCTTTTACAGATAATTTATATACCTTCTTTACCTTAGGGACAGTTTCTAGACATTTATTTTGTTTCTTTCATTTGCCTTGTACCTTTGTGTTGGGATCCATGCATTTGAGAAAATTTCCACCTCTCCAAATCATTACAGACTGGCTTTGTATAGGCAAAGATCTTCACCAGTCAGCCTAGTTAGAGATTCTAGAGGCCTCTATTACCTTTTCTGTGGATGCTTCTTCTCTGGCCTTGTGTATGTAAATTCCCAGTTAGAGGCATTTGCTGGTTCCTTTTTTTTCAGGAATTCATAATATCTTGCTCCCTCTGGTTTCTGTCTGTGGTGCTGCAAGTTCTCTGGGGCTGCTGTAGATTGCCCTGTCTTTTATTTCTTTCTTTTTATTTTTTAAATTCAGGATATTATGTGGGTACAAACATTTTGGTTACATGTAATGCATTTGCCTCACCCAAGCCAAGTCTATAAGCATGTCCTTCCCCATACAGTGCTCTCTGCTTCCATTAGTTATGGGTTTACCCTCCCCCACCTGACCAGCACCCAATGAGTATTACTACCATGTGAGCACCTTAGTGTTGATCAGTTAGTACCAATTTGATGGTGAGTACATGTGGTGCATGTTTTTCCATTCTTGTGATACCTCACTTTGAAGGTAGAGCTCAATCTCTATCCAGGATAATAGGTACTTAGTTCACCATTGTTTTCTGTAGTTAAGTAGTATTACATGGTATATATATATATACCACATTTTATTCATCTACTCATGGATTGATGGGCACTTGGGTCGTTTCCACATCTTTGCAATCGTGAATTGTGCTGCTATAAACATTCGAGTACAAGTGTCTTTATTATAGAATATCTTTTTTTTTCACCTTTGGATAGATACATGGTAATGGAATTGCTGGATCAAATGGTATTTCTATTTTTAGCTCTTTTAGGTATCTCCAAATTACTTTCCACAGGGGTTGCACTAATTTGCAGTCCCACCAGCAGTGTAAGAGTGTTCCTATCTCTCCACATCCTCGCCAGCATTTGTTGTTTTGGAACTTTTTGATAAGGTCCATTCTCACTGGGGTTAGGTGATATCTCATTGTAGTTTTGATTTGCATTTCCCTAATGATTAGATGTTGAGCACTTTTTTATATTTTTGTTGGTCATTAGTTTGTCTTCTTTTGAAAAATTTTTGTTCATGTCCTTTGCCCATTTACAGATGGGGTTGTTTGATTTTTTCTTGTTGATTTTCTTAAGTTCTATATAGATTCTTATTATCAGCTCTTTTTCAGATGTGTAGAGAGCACATATTTTCTCCCATTCTGTAGGTTGTCTATTTGCTCCAATGAAGCTTCCTTGGCTGTGTGGACGCTTTTAAATTTGATCAGGTTCCATTTGTTTATTTTTGTTGCTGCTGTGATTGCTTTGGGGTCTTCTTCATAAATTCTTTGCCTGGGCTAATGTCTAGAAGAGTCTTTCCAGGAATTTCTTCCATAATTCTTAAGGTTTCATGCCATAGGTTTAAGTCTGTTATCCATTGTGAGTTGATTTTTGTGAGAAGTAGTAGGTGGGGATCCAGTTTCCATCTTCTGCATGTGGATTTTCAGTTTTCCCAGCACCACTTATGGAATAGATATTCTTTTCCCCAATGTATACTTTTGTCTGCTTTGTCAAAGATTAGATGAAAATGTGAGGATGGTTTTATATCTGGGATCTCCGTCCTCCTACTCTTATAGAGTGTGTTTGGTCTTATCAGCGCTTTGAATGTCCTAATACAGGAACAAATTGCTTATACAAAGCTCCCCCAAAATCTAGAACATTGGACATACACTCCACTCTTCTTTCCTTCCTCTCTGATGGAGAGGCTACTGACCTATATTAACCTCTGTCTGTTCTACTGTGTGTTCTGTGGATCAGCAGCAAGTCACCCAAATCCATTTTGTTTTCAATGGCAAAATATTCCAGGTGTTGTTAGCCATCTGAGACAGGTAAGACAGGAAACAGTCTCTCAGGCAGCTCCCTGAAAAGCCAGAATGTTGGACACACACTTCAACTCTTTCCCTCCCCAGAGAGAAGCTGAGAATTGAGAGTTTTCACTCTTGTTCTATGCTGAGCTCGGGGGAGGGACTGTAGTAAGTATGTACCTAGTAGTCTTAACTTTTGTCTTTGTACCCAGTGGCTTTCATCCTGGCACCCTTTTCCACCAGTGCCCAGATACAGTCAAGACAGAAACCTATTCCTTAGCCCCCCAGAAATCTGGACATAGGATATATGTTTCAGTTTTTTCTTTCCCTCCCCAGGGAGAAGCTAAGAGTTTGGAGTTTTCTTCAGATGGTGCTATGCTGAGTTGGGCAGAGAGACCATGGCAAGTGAGTACCATGAATTTTCCTACCAGCTTCAATGTAGCTGGTTTTAAGATTGCCTGGAATGCAGGAGTCTGTTAACTGATTCCTGGATTTCTCCTGAAGGGAATTGGTCTATGTATTATTGTTGAATTTGTGTCTTCAATGGAAGAAGGAAGGTCTTAGGGCTTTCTAGTTCATCATCTTGCTGACATCACCCATCTCCTTTTTATTATTTGATTTTTGGCTTGTTTCTTTTGTTTCTTCTTCTTTAAATACATTTTCAGGCCCATATTCTTATTCATCTCCTTGTGAGATTCTGATGATACAGAGATGTGTTTGGTCTTTTGTTATTGCCCTACAGATCACTGAGGCTCAGTTCTTTTTATTTTTTCATGCTTTTTTTTCTCTTTGTACAGACTGGGTAAATTTTATTGATCTGTCTTTGACTTTACTGATTCTATTCCTTCTCATCTCTATTATTGAGTCCATCTAGGGAGTACTTTTTAAATTTTGGCTGTTGTATATTTTTAATTCTATAATTTCCATTTGGTTCTTTTTCTAATAACTGCTATTTCTTTGGTGGCATTTTCTGTTTGCATTTGTTTGAAGATAATTTTTAATTGCTTGTAGAAGCGTTTTTATGACAGCTTTAAAATCCTTGTCAGGGAACTGCAACATCAGCGTCATCTTGGTATCAATGTCAGTTAATAGTCTTTTCTTATTAAAATGGTGGTTTTCCTAATTCTTCATATGAGGAGTGATTTTGCGTTGCATCCTAGACATTTTAGTTACAATTTTAGGAGTCTCATGATCCTGTTTAAATCTTCTCTTTTAGCAGGTAGTCAGCCTTTGTAGGTTTAGAATATAGGTTCTAGCTTACTTTTGTGGGTTTTAGGCACAACGACAATTTAGTTTTCAGAGCCATTTCAGTGCTATTCTGATGTGTTTTGTTCTTCTGATACTGCTGCAACTCCCATTCATTTCCTGTCATGCCACCTGCTGGAGCATAAAGCACTTTTCTGGGCCACTTGGTATCATTCGGCCACCTTACCCTACAGAGGTTGGGAGAGAAGCCACTGAGACTGGGTCTTCTTATGCCACTGGATGACAGACTAGGAGATGGTGGTGTCCCAAGTGTGGAATGGAAAATTAAGTAAGGACAGCATTTCTCTGCTTTCATTGCAGACAGACCAGCCTGAAAATACCACAGGTATTGAATCAGAGTTGGATTGGCCTGCAGGGGCTTCACTGTTCCCTCTGTGGGCCACTAGTGTCCCTGATGTGGATCAAGAGTTAGAATGGCCCACTTTGGTTTTGAATATTCTTCTTTGGGTAGGTCAGCCCACCTTCTGTGGAGATTGGGTCTGCCAGGGGCTTTATAGCTCCCTCTCTGTACAAATCAGGTTATCCTCAGGTGCCTTGGTCATAGAGGAGACCATAGAGGAGAGGTTAGGGCTTCCCACTAGATCTCTGCTGGGCTTCCTTTTTGCAAGTACTTAGGCTAGAGAAAGGAAGCTTCACTTCGTTCTTGGTGTTGTTATTGTTATAGTTATTGTTGTTTATGCCTGTTGGCATAACTTTGGATTGGAGGCCTCCCCAATGCCTAGCATGGGATATGTAGGAGATAAAAAGAAAACTCAGGGAATTCATAGCATTGTTGTTCCTCAAATCTTGAAGTCTCCAAGAAGTACACCCTATTCCTATATTTTAGAGTTTTAAAATTTTGTCTGTTCAATTATTTCTAAATATTTAGTTATATTTAAAAAGGAGAAACAGGGAAATGTGGGTCTATACCATCTTGTTCCAGAGATTCCAGATATATTTTAAAGGTCGAGCTAACAAGATTTGGTGATGGATTGAATCTGGAGTGTGAAAGAAAATCACGACTGGTTCCAAGGATTTTAGCCTGAGCCACAAACAACAAAGTGAGTTGTGATGCCATCTACTGAGAATGGAGAGACAAGGGGAGCACTAGGTTTGGTGTAGCTTGGGCTAGGAATTAAGTAAGAGTTGTATTGTGGATATGTTAAGTTTTAGATATTCGAGTGATGATGTCAGTACAAAGCTGTATTTTTAGAGATAGAAATATATATTTATAAGTAATCAGCTTATAAATTGTATTTGCGGATATGAGACTAAATAAAATTACTTCATGAATGAGTGTAGAATTGAGAATAAATCCAAGGACCAACTCTAACACATTCCAATGTTTAGAGTTAGAAGTAAAAGAATCTAGTAAAGGACATGAGAATGAGCAACTAGTAAGGTAGGAGGAAAATAAGAACAATCTATTGTTGTAAAAGCCAAGTGAAGCAAGTATTTCCAGAATGAAGGAGTGATCAATTGTCACAAATGTTGCTGAGAGATCAAGTAAGATGAGGACTGATTAATAGCTATAGAATTTGACAATATGGAGATTATTGGTGACCTTAGTGAGGTAGATTTCATTAGATCCCTGAAATTAAAAGATTGATTGGATTGGGTTCAAGAAAGTGACAAGCAAGGTTATGAAGACAGGGAGAATAGACAACTCTCTGGAGGAATTTTCTACAAAAGGAAACAGAGATATGAACAGAAGCTGAAGTGTTTTTTAATGTGTGATAGTAGAGTATGTTTGTATATTAGTGGGAATTATTTGATAGGAAAAAATATTCATCATATAGGAGCAAGAAGAATTAAATCCAGTGTATAAGTGAAGGGGTTGGTTTTGGGAAGAGGAACAATTTATTTGTTTTAACTGGTAGAAAGGAAGAAAATAATGAGTACAGGTAGGATGGGAAACTACTTTCTTTTTTCTTTTTTCTTTTTTTCAGAGATCTCGCTTTGTCACCCAGGCAGTGGTACCAAACTGTACTCGTAATTATTGTATTTTATTTTACCACACACTCATAGTAAGAAGGAAAAAGTCTGTTTCACTTAACCATTTCAGTACGAGCGTTGACTATAGTCGACAGCCACAGATGAACCAAGCATCGACTTTAGCCAACAGCCGTGATATGACTTTTCTAATTTTTCATTTATCAAAATAAAATTGTGAACATTTAAAAATAACATAATAAAACATATATGTATATGTTACCTATTCTGATTTACATTACAAGTAAAGCTGCCTATAAAGTAAAACAAGCTTTCAGTGCTTTAAAGCTTTCCTCATCACACAAGAGCAAAATGGATCTGTCGTCAATGCACAGCACAAACTATTGTGTGGACTGTAGAGTGCTGGCTGTGGGCAAGGTTTCATGGCCAGTGAGCACCGTACTGAAGTGGTTAAGATTGTTCTTATTGAAACAATTAAAATTACTGTAATTTTATTAAATATTGACCCTGAGTACATGTCACTTAATATTTTTTTGTGGCAAGATGGGACGTACACATAAAGCACTTCTGCATAAAACAGTAGGATGGTTATCTTAAGGAAAAACACTTGTGTGTTTGTGTTGTGAGCCAATATAAAGAAATAAAAAACAGAAAAACTATGGTTATTCAGACAAGGCATTTTACAGATATTTTTTCTCAAAAACAAATGAAGTGAGCCTGTTACTTTAAGACAAACAACCGTGAGTATTTGTTACCAATGATAAAATGAAAATTAGCATTTTGGAAAACTTCTATCTATCACCATGAACTTGATAGCTGCCAAATACTGAAGAACTTTTCTGATTAGATCATTGGTGATATTAAATGAAGTGTTTTTTTTATGTTGGACAATGAAATGGGTCAATATTTAGAAGATCTTCATAACTCAGTGAATCAATACAAATGACCAAAACATGATGTTACAGAATCATGCATGTGTAAAAAAGATGCAAAGTGTAAGGACAGGGACTTCCAGTTTCTGGCCTGGCATGTAAAGAAGTTGGAAGTCATAATAACTCCATTCTAACAACAAATAAAAAGCTGAGCAGACTGAAAAACAACAACCCCTCTTATATCTGTCTAATAATTGAGGCCATGGGGCAAACTCCTGGGTCCAAAATTGGAGAGACACAGCGGGAGATGCAGAGAATCACATCTTGCCAGAAAGGAGACTCACAATTTGACACATCTGTAGGGACCAATACTGGGTGAGGAAAACTTGAATCAGGAACTCTACCAGGTTCTCACAATGAATATCAGAGAGAAATCTCTTTGTGCTTCTGTCAGTAGAAGGGGAAAAGTAGCTCTTCTAAAATATGCCAGTACATTCTGTTCTTTTTAACAACTGCCCTCAAGAGAAACTGTTTTTACTAGAGCCTAACCTAGTGGGGTTTTATCATAGTCTAACTGACCTCAGGGAAGGGAAATACCCAACTCTGGTCCATTTTGGCTATCCTGTCCCACCTAAAGAGAGGATAAAACCCAGCAGCACTTGTGTAATAAACAATGCAGGAGGACAGACACATTAAAAAGCTAAGATCTAGTCATAGGACTGCAGAACATGCACCCCCACACACCTTACTACCACATCACTAAACACCTGTTTACTGCGGTTCCTTTTACACAATACTTCATGTCCACCTTTCCACAAACAATTACGAAGTATACTAAAAGGCAAAAAATATAGTTTGAAGACAGAGCAAGCATCACAGCCATAGTCAGATATGAAAGACATGTTGGGATTATGAGACCAGCACTTTAAAATAACAATGATTAATATGCTAAGGGCTCTAATGGAAAAATAGACAACATGCAAGAATACACGGGTAATGTAAGCAGAGAGGTGGAAATTCTAAGAATCAAAAAGAAATTCTGGAGATATTAATAAAAAACACCATAACAGAAATGAAGATTGCCTTTGATTGGCTCATTAATAGACTGGATATGGCTGAGGAAAGAATCTCTGAACTTGAAGATACGTCAGTAGAAACTTCCAAAACTGAAAAGCAAAGAGAATAAAGACTGAAAAAAACCCAGATTAGAATATCCAAGAACTTGGGACAACAACAAAGCATGTAACATGCCTGATGGGACTACTAGAAGGAGAAGAAAGAGAGAAAGGAGCAGTAGAAATATTTAAAGCAATAATGACTGAGAATTTTTTCAAATTAAAGTCAGACACCAAATCACAGATCCAGGAACTTCAGAGAAACCCAAGTAGGATAAATATCAGAAACAAACAAAAGAAACAGATCTTAGATTTACGTTTCAATCCATATTGATTTGATTTTTGTATATGATGAGGAATAAAAGTCTAGTTTCATTCTTCTGCATGTATATCTTTAGTTTTCCCAGCACCATTTATTGACGAGACTGTCTTTTCCTCAATGTATGTTCTTGGCATCTTTGTTGAAAATGAATTAACTGTAAATGCATGGATTTATTTCTGGGTTTTCTATTTTTTTTTTACATCAAATGTATGTTTTATTCGGTCCAGTAAATCTAAACTATTATCATTTCAACATGTGATCAATATAAAAATATTTATGAAATATTTTACATTTTTTGGTACTAAGTCTTCAAAATCTGATATGTATTTTACACTCACAGCATACCCCAATTTTGATGCTAAGTTTTCATGTGAAATACTTTATCTGTGTTTAGCATTCATGAAGTTTAAAGTTAAATATAAATTCACATACTCAGGTTGTTCCAAATATACTTAAAATATACTGAGTTTAACATCATTTTTATTTTTTTATTTCAGCATATTATGGGGGTACAAATGTTTGGGTTATGTGTGTTGCCTTCTCCCCACTTCCCCCCACCCCAGAGTCAGAGCTTCAAGCGTGTCCATCCCCCAGATGGTGCACATCACACTCATTGTGTATTTATGTACCCATTCCCTCTCCCCTCCCATCTGCCTGACGCCCAATAAATGTTATTCCTATATGTTCCACTTAGGTGTTGATGTAATACCAATTTGCTGGTGAGTACATGTGGTGCTTGTTTTTCCATTCTTGGGATACTTCACTTAGTAGAATGGGTTCCAGCTCTATCCAGGAAAATACCAGAGGTGCTATATCACCATTGTTCTTATAGCTGAATAGTACTCCATGGTGTACACATCCTAAAAATGATACAAGCCATATATGACAAACCCACAGCCAACATCATACTGAATGGGGAAAAATTGAAAGTATTCCCACATAGAACTGGAACAAGGAAAGGTTGCCCACTATCTCCACTTCTATTCAACATAGTGCTGGAAGTTCTTGCTATGGTAATCAGACAAGAGAGCGGAATTAAGGGTGTCCAAATGGGAGCAGAAGAGATCAAATTCTCACTCTTTGCTGATGATATCATATTATATCTAGCAAACCCCAAGAATTCAACCAAAAGACTCCTTGAATTGATAAATGAATTCAGTAAAGTCTCAGGATACAAAATCTATACACACATCAGAGGCATTCATATATGCCAATAATAGTCAAAGTGAGAACCAAATCAAAGACTCAGTACCCTTCAAAATAGTAACAAAGAAAATGAAGTACCTAGAATATATTTAACTAAGGAGGTAAAAGACCTCTACAGTGAGAATATGAAACACTGAGGAAGGAAATAGCAGAGGATGTAAACAGGTGGAAGACCATACCATGTTCGTGGGTTGGCAGAATCAACATTGGGTTTCTATTCTTGAAACTGTGAACTAATAGAAGAGAACATTGGAAAACACTCTAGGACATTTGTCAGGCAAAGCTTTCTTGGGTAAGACCTCAAAAGCATAAGCACCAAGCAAAAATGAACAAATGGGATCACATCAAGCTAAAAAGCTTCTGCACAGCAAAGGAAATAATGACAAAGTGAAGAGTCAACCCATAAATTGGGAGAAATATTTGAAAACTATTGATGTAACAAGGGATTAATAACTAGATTATGTAAGAAGCTCAACAACTCAATAGCAAAAAACAAAGTCCAAATTTTTGATTAAATATCGACAAAAGATCTGAATAGACATTTTCAAAAGAAATATACAGATAACCAACTGATAAGTGAAGGAAACGTTCAATATCACTAACTATCCGAGGAATGCAAATCAAAACTATGATGAATATCACCTCACTCTGGTTAAATGGCTTTCTTAAAAAGACGACAATAATGGATGCTGGCATCCATTGGTGAAGAGAAACCCTCATACACTGTTGTGGTAATGTAAATTAGTATGTGCACTATGAAGAAAGAATGGAGGTTCCTCAATAAACCAAGAACTACCATATGATCAGCAATCCCACAGGTGGGTATATATCTAAAAGAAAGGAAGTCAGTGTATCGAAGAGATACGTACATTCCCATGTTTCTTGTGACACTATTCATAGTAGCTAAGTTATGGATTCAAGCTAAATGTCCATCAGTGGATGAATAGATAAGGAAAATATGGTACATAATGAGATATCGCTTACTCCTGTTAGAATGACTTTTATTAAAAAGTCCAAAAACAACAGATGTTGGCTGTGCAGAGTAGAAGGAATGCTTATACACCGTTGGTGGACTGAAAATTAGTATCTCTATGGAAAACATTATGGATATTCCTCAAAGAACTAAAAGTAGACCACCTGTTTGACCCAGCAATCCACTGCTGGGTATTTATCCAAAGGAAATATGTCATTTTATCAAAAAAGACACGTGCACTCGAATATTTATTGCAGCATAATTCAAAATAGCAAAGAAGTGGAATCAGCCTAAGTGCCCATCAGTTGATGGGTGGATTAACAAAATGTGGTTATGTATACTCTCTCCTTTCTAGTTATCAGCCCTTTATCGGATGTGTAGCTTGCAAAATTTTTCTCTCATTCTGTGGGTTGTCTCTTTGCTCTCTTGATGGTTTCTTTGGCTGTGCAGAAGCTTTTTAATTTGATCAGGTCCCATTTAGTTATTTTTGTTAATGTCGTGATTGCCTTTTGGGTCTTCTTAATAAATTCTTTGCCTAGGCCAATGTCTAGAAGTGTATTTCCAACGTTTTCCTCTAGAATTCTAATAGTTTCACACCTAAGGTTCAAGTCTGTTACCCAGCGTGAGTTGATTTTTGTGAGAGGTGAAAGGTGTGGGTTTTGTTTCAGTCTTCTATATGTGGCTA